ATTTCACTGATTCAGCAAATCTAATACAGTCGTAATATACGGACAATCAGTTTTCTACGTTAAAGTAGCAAAGTTGACAGCTGAATAACGTTAGCAATTTATTAAATCCAATCATCAAATCTTTTTGTTAGTGTAGTTATTAAATTCGTGCAGCTATAATAGTTTTGCTATATCATCCAATCTATTTTTTTTTCCGTGAATCTATACTGTATATTGAAAAAAACTCGTCATTTTACTTTTCTGAGCACTTTCGGTGTTACTAAATATTTAACAAAGTATTATTTTCAAGTTATAGATATTGCTTTCAAATAAATTTATGATATTTAAAAAAAACAGAACATAATAAGCAGATATGGGTATAATAATAGGCAAATTTAAAGAAAATATAAACGTAATACAAATCATCTCATATTCGCAATCTAGATACCAATAACTTTTATTTATACTTCTGCGAAATACTTACTTTATTATACTTCAATGGTCCGATTTTACTATTGTCCGCTATTTTTACAAGCGTCGAAGACCGCGCTCGATTCGAGATTCAAATTTATACGTTGATATTTTCAGGAACAAGTAATCGCCGTACAAACCATTTTCGGATTTCGTCGATCCGAGCGCGAATTTTCTCACCATCATTTTTAGAAATGCATCACAAAAATCGTTTCGTTGAGCCCCTCCATCATAAAAACAGGGCCGTCGAAAGAGCACAAGATTACGGATCCTTTGTCGTTTACGATGTCTCGCACGATGGTAAGTTTGATTGTCAGTGGTTGCAATTTGCGCAGAACGTCAAGATCGCGAGGACTGCTGTGAGAAAATACGCTCGAGATTTGCGCGCGGTACGAAAAGCTAAGCGAGAGAAAAGTTTTTATTTCGGCGTTTGTTAAATCGAGTTCTTCCTGACGACTTTCTCTTCTCCTGCTCGCACCATCAGCTCGAAGACGCAACGTCATTCTATTGTACATCTCGTCGTCTTTGTCATTCTGAGTGCCGTAAAACAATGACGTATGAATTCACGAAAGAGGTTTATGAATTTCTGTCGACATCCACGAAAATGCGTTGTTTATAACGAATGGAACCGTGTCAAGGCATATCTAAACGTATCATGTAATATTTTATTACGTATAATCGTCTTACTGATTCATAAGATGCGTCGAGAATTTACAAGCATATTAATGACTGACGGATTGATTTATTTATACGTTATAGGTAATTAAAAATTTTTTACAAATCATGGTTCGTTATATTATTTTTGCCATCTTGATATCTAATATTCACTATTTATATTTTTGACAGCTTTTTTTTATATAGTAAATAAAAATAGGCAATATTTTTCACATTATTTATTACATCTTTTAAAAAATAAAATATTTCAAATTCAATTTGCTTTCTGAAGATCATTAAATTTTGTGTAAAATTTTATACAATTCTTTCTAATTTTACATATATATGTATGTATATTTTATAACTTATACATGTATTTAAAATATGAAGATAATTTTATAAGCGAAATCGCGCTTAAGTTATGACTGCATCAAATTTCGTGAATGACACTTTTACACAGTTTATTCGATGTTTTAATTAGCAAGCTCTATTAATTATTCATATATTGTAGCAAAGTCAACTTTATAATTGGGAGAAACGAACTGTTCGCAGGTGCACATTTTCGATTTTCTCGAAGACTGGTTTAGTGAAAGTTTAGAGAAACACGAAAGTTTACAAAGTGTCTGCTGAATTTTAATTTAAATAGGGAATACTCAATCTAACGTTCAATGACCAGACTTTCTGTTTGTCTTAATTTGAAATAATAGATTTATAGACGCGTCACTACAGACGATAATATTCTGTATTATATTTAAAAACGGTTAGAAATAAATTTAATTAATTATATTTTTCTAAATATTTAATAATAAGCATATTGATAAATAGATCACACATATTATAATTTTATTTTCGGTTTAAAGTAAATTGCAAATGAAATAAACACAATTTTATTATGTATTTATTCTATCTCTAATTTGCATAAGAGAATCTTTTAATTTTAAATGTTTAATAGCTACATAATTATGCTTTGGACAATCTTAGCAGAGGAAGAATTAATAGGTCTATAAATACTCTATACAAATAAATCACACAATGCGCAGAAAAGAGGACAAGATTTTTTCCACGTTATACCATCGCCAGTGCATATATTAACTTCTAGATAATAATAGCAAATGCAAAAGGGAACTTGTTTATGAAGGAAACAAGGACCGCACAACCGCAAGATTTTCCATAAAGCTGTCGACACGCATTTCTTCCGCGGTCATTTCCGAAGCTCGCACTCGTGAGAGCGGTCGTGAGAAAAAGAGTAGGCAACAAAGACGCAGTATTTATAAAGAATCCTAACGACTCCGTAATTAGTGTAATTACGGAGCCGTGTCTTGCGCGGTCTTAATGCTCACGTCACTCGGAACGCGTTCTCCCCGTAATTCCTTCTAATGTATCTGCCGGTGAAAAAGAGCGGCCAGGATCCGGACCTGGATCCAAGGAGGAAGGAGAACCTCCGACGCTGCGACAGTACGACTGCAGTATCTAGATCGAAGCTGCGCTCCGGTTGCGAACGAGGAGGATCCTCCTCGACGATTGCCAGCCGAGAACGGATTACCTCTAATCTCTGACATTAGCTCCCGCTCTGCATCGACCGTGCTTCGCGCGCTCCTACAGGAATATGTCTCCATTTACTATCTGTTCTTTTTCTCGGCACCTCGTTCGTGAATACCCGAATAAAAAGGATGACGCGGATAAATCTTGGCGGCGCCTGCTAGCGGACTCTCAGTGGAAATCCTTTGGAAACTGCTAATTATGAGAGGGCGCCTGGCCAGCAGCTAAATACGCGCTTTATCCATTCCAACGTGATACCTCGTTTGAATTGCGTAGCTTTAAGGGAAAACTCGTTTCTCTGAGTATGTTTCTCCAAGTCTATGCTGTTTCTCCGATATAATTAACACTTGTAGTAATAATATTACTATTCTTGAAGCATGTAATCAACGCAGTATTCGGCAAATTCTTTAGAAATGCAGTTCAATTTAATTTTCTTATTTATTTACGTTAATTAATCATACACATTTAAAGCAATTTTTGTTACTGATATTTAAAATATATACTTATTTTCTGTCATGTATATATAATAATTAATTTTATTCGAAGCTATTAATATAATTAATATTAAAATAGCATTATCTATTTGAAATTATAAGCTTATAATCATTAAGATTCTTCATTAGTATGTTTTAAGAATCAAATATTTAAATAGATGTTTTAGTGAATTTATTTGCTATTAAATTTACTTTCGCTATTTTTATTACAAAAATAGATTATGTGAGGAACATTGAGTCTCTCAATGCTGCAATTATATCTATTTAAACTCAAATGACGCATACTTCGCAAAAATATTGAATCGTCGTGTCTGTTCAATTAATTCTCAAGTAAGAGGAAATTAGGATTACGACTGTGAAATGGCACGCAGTCCTCGTAATATGCTCAACGAGACGTTGCTAATTGTCGCCGTATGGTTACCGATTTATTGTCCCACTAGCGCTCTACTCCAACAATCTGAACTGTAAGTAAAAAGACAATTAACGGTTGATCGCGACAAATTAAGCAAATAGAAAGATATTAACGCAGGTGTCTGCAGTGTTAAGTAACACGACTCCTGTATCTGTCATCGATAAGTTTATGTATGCATAGTCGCTAAAGAATTTTGAGCCTTCTTTATTATTTATTTTTATAAAATAATAAGCGATTAAAAACATTACTTTTTGATATTTTATAGATGTACAAAAAATTTTACATTTTAAATAACAATATACAGTTTTTTAATGACATCGCATCACGTGTTTAACCAATTAAAACTAATATGTAGTTTAAATATAAAAATCTGTCTATTAATATTCTAGCATTTACCTGAAGACATGTGTATATTTTACTAATTACTCTAAATAATTTTAAATAAAATTTCTAACAATTTACATTTATTTTTCTTCTCTACTGGAAGCGTAGTAATCGATAAGATTGTATAATCTGGAGCATGATCGTGAAGCACATTTGTGTTCTACAGGTATATGCATGAACATGGACTGTTATATGTTGGACATGGAAAACAATCGTGTAACATGGAAATGACATTTCCAGATACCAGAAAAAAATATTATTGGTAATAATAATGACTCTACAAGTGTGATTCAATTTAAAAAAAAACTTTATATAACAATCTGCAATGAAAACAATGAATCTTTTCACTTGCATCATGTTAACGTACGGACAAGAGAATTATTTTAATTTTAGCGTACATACAAAAATTTGATTTTATTTTTATTTTAAATTTATATAATTGAAGCGTTTCTGTTATATTAATATTTCTTTCTTTTAGTAAAATATATATTCACTAACATAATTTCAAATCTTGTAGCTATACTTATTTTTTAATTCCTCTAACAAGACTTCTTCATCTCTAGGTCTACATTGACAGAATATTAGGTTAAATTGGATCTTAAATTGGATCATCAATTGTAAGCTGAAGATGATCCCAAGAAGAATCGAAACATATTGTATTAAATGATTTTTTTTCAATTACAATTAACATTAATTAATTGTGTAGCATTATTACTGTGCTGTATTTATATTTGTTGTTTTTCCCTTTTAATGTAATTTTAAGGATTGTTATGTTCCTGATTTCTATAATATTATATAAATGTAAATCACATTTTATTTAAAAGTTCAGAAATATATTGAAAACCCCAAAGAAATCCGTCAATTAAATAAATCTTATAAATACAGTGCTAACTTATGTCAACAGAATAATGAATATTCATGAATATTCTTTTCGCCAATTTACTTAGTGAATCTCGTAAACAGTTTCCTTACACGATCAATTAAGCAAATTTGGGAGTTTAAGAATGTGATGGGTTTAGATCAGAAGGCGTGCTGCAGTAGATATTTAGTGAAAGTAGTGTGTCGTCGTATAAAAACCGAGGAATCGATGATTTGAAGCATTCAGAGTCATCTTCTCATAGCACGTTCACCATGAAGACATTCCTAGTGAGTAGTAAAATTTTTCGACAAATTTCTTTTTTACCAATATCTCAATAGCGCGAATGTATCGAATGTAAGAAAATGAAGTTTTACTATTTGCCATAAGTACATTAAAAAGGTACAGTTCTTCAGTTTGCTCAATTTATCATTAGCAAATGTAAATGTTTTTTCTTGTTTTACAACATGATTGTTAAACTATTTTTAAAACATTAAAAACAAAGTATAATTTTTTGTGCTAATATTATATATTGTATCTTATTTATATATTCCATTTTTTAATCATTTGCCGTTCGCAAATCTATTTTATTTATGTAATATAAATATTTTAATTATATAACTGAATAATCTCTACAGATTACAATATACACCACTTGTGTTAAGAAAACTGAAATAATTAACTTATAGATATCCAAAATAATATAGAAATTTCATGTTAAAAAATATAATTTTTCTCTTGATAATAGATATCAAATTGTTGCTTATAGATTTCATTGTTATTCGTCTCCGCTTTCGCCGTTGATGTGTCGGAGAAAAAACATGACAAACGTGCTTCTGTACACGGAGGATCATCGATATATGGTCATAGCAATTACAACCTCCATGGTGACGTTGGGTTCCATGGATCCGGACGTGGCTATGGGCATGGATATGGACACGGATATGGACACGGGTACGGAGGAATTGGACCTGAAATCGATTTTGGAAGACCCCATGGTTACAGACCAAGTTTCGGCATCGGTGTGGAACACGGATCCTTACACCATGTACCCAGAATCATCGTGAGTCGCGTGGTTCCAGTTGCAATTTCCATACCTCAACTGGTTCCCATAACACGCTCAGTCCCCGTACCGGTGCCGCATCCCGTACCCGTTGAAGTGAAGCATCCTGTCCCTGTCCCAGTACCCCAACCGGTTCCATTCGTCGTCACCAAAGCCTATCCCGTTAACGTACCCCGTCCGGTTCCAGTGCCGGTATCTCATGCCGTACCTGTACCACACCCGGTGCCGCACCCGGTCCCAGTTCCGCATCCGGTTCCGATTCCAATTCGCTCACCCTCAATTTCAATCTCGCAATCCATACCAGTTAACTCTGATCCATATCCGCTGCTCGCTAGACCAATCTCTCAACCTATCATATCAACCGGTCCTCAATCCGGGTCCTTAATACGACCAATCGCTCCCATTGGGATTGGATCTGTCGATGCGGCAGGAACCGGCACAATATTAGAAAATGGACATAATTCTGGATTTGCCATTTCTGGCGTACACGGTGGTAATAATTTCGGCTCCCCCATAGACTCGGGATTTCCCGTGAGCGTGGACCCCGGCAGCGAGGGATACTCTTATCCGGTACCAGCGAAGAAATTCTTTTAAGCAAAGCACTCGAAAGAATCTGTTACAGGCGACATCTCCGATTTGCACGCCGATGCGATACATCTACCGTCTTCGAGACCTTGGATATATGGCACGCGGCGGCTCGAGTCACGCCATACCCATTTATCCCGCGTTTCACTTGATATTTATGGATTCGCATACTGCGGAAGGTCTTCGTGAGTCGTGCCCTCGATTAAAATTCCACCTAAAACCACAAAAACAAAAGAGATCAAAGTATATAAATATATTAGCATTTACTTTCACGTTTTCGACAGTGACAAGGCAAAGAGAAAGTGTTACATTTTGAAAACGTGAAAGTAATATTATGCAGAATCCAAGAAGATGAATAATCATACGAGCGCGCGAGAAGTAAGAAATATGACGATCTATTCGATATTTCCTGTTACCGAAATCTCACGTAGGCAGAAGAAAATTGCTAACAATTCTTTCAAGATGTATCGTTTGCACGTTTACAATAGGATCGTATTCTAAGCATGATATACAATCAATCTATAACTATTTATTTATCTCTTTTATGAAGATATAAAAAATACCTCCATCGTGTGCCATAGACATTCAGATAATTATGAATAAATTTAAGTAATTAAGTACAACTATAAATTGTTTTATATGTATAAGAAAGAATATATCTTGACTTGTTAATTTAACCAGTTTTGATTGTTTCCTCTACGCATCCTTGATACCCTTATATTGGAATCCTCTCGTAAAGCAGTTACTACACACGATATGATCCTGCGGGTCCGTCGAGATACGCGAGTAGATTTACCCCGATTCAAAAGTGATTAAAGTTGCTACCTCCTTACCCGCATCGCATCCTAAATTGCCGAAACTTTGACCTTGTGCTTTAGCACACTCAACAACAACCACATAACCGTTTCGTACAGCCTCCGGCTGTTATGCCGGCTCTCAGGTATTCAAGTGCTCGAGTCGCCATTTCCAACTTACTTTACACGTATTTATACAAGAAAGAAATGTTCATAATTACAAAAAGAATACACAACGGTATTAGTGATAATGCTGAGATGTTATATAATAAGCAACATCGTCGAATTTGTTGTTTTCTCCGTTTCTTATCTTATTTTTTTCTTTATCAATATCCAGCATTGTATAATCTAAAATTTTTTATTTTGATTTCCATAAATTTGCTTGTATATACTCAAAAGTTACATGCAGCAAAATCCTACTCCCCGAATTCAAGATAAGCTACTAGTCTTTATGTATATAGAGCGTCTCAAAATACCTTTAAGGCATATCATTAAGGCTTAACAATATGGCGATAATTTTAATAGGAACATAAATAATTTTTAAGTTTGATCGAGATTAAAAAATATTTGGTTAAATTAAAATTATAAATTATAGAAAATAACAAAATATTGTACTTTTAATAGAAATATGTTTCTAATATGTTCAAATATGAATTCAATTTATTAAAATATTTAATAAAATGATATATTTTTAGAGACAAAATCATGATTTTTTATTACATTTTATTTAAATTTAAATAAATCAAAGAAAGATAATATGATTAAGATACGTAATTCGCTCTTTGAGATATCCTGTACAGGAGGATACGTACAAATATACCATACACACGCAGATTTCCTTAGAAAGCTCCGTAACACATTCATTTGCAGTTACGCATGTATGTGATTTCTCCTCTTTTCCCCGCTGAACAACGGACAGTTACTCATTATTTTACGACTTTCGCCAGGCCGCTGAATTAACCTGAGTTTTTCCAAGGATGGTCCTTTATGCACCTTGTCCAGAAATGAAGTGCATTTCTCTTATCTCTTATCTACGGCTAGGGTTACAATGTCTAGGGTTAATATGTCGTTAAACTGCCATCATTGATATCTTTGTGAAATCTCTCTTTTACGGTTCTTCCAGTAACTCACAATCAGTACAGAAAGATCTTATGTAACAATATTACAAATTTGTATGTAAAAGTACAAAGTCTACATACAGATGTTAAAATTTGTTAATAGTTGCTTTAATCCTTTTTATTTTCAAATAATTTTCAAATAAATATAAGCGACACATAGAAATAAAGTTTTTCATGTGATAATAACAAACGTTTTCTGTTAATTTTATAATTTCTTTGTGTTCCTTAGTGGAAATTATTTTATTCTAACATTGCACGAAAACTTATACAGAGTTATTTTAGAAAAACAATTAATGTTCTAATTTACACAAAGTTTATTGATTGTTACAAATTTATTATTACCACGCGTGCGTATTTAATCATTAATGTAATTAAAAGATGCGAGTAAATCGCATAAAATAAGTGAATAATTACTCGCGTGCAATTATAACAGTTGCAATATTATTTAATTACTAAAAACGGCACAGTCTTCGTGAATTCGAAATGCGCGCAAGGCGTAGCAGGAACGGAGCTAATTGTAAGCATTTATCTAATGTGAAGGATTTACAGACGATGTAAATTTATTCGCGAGACCCTCGCTTAATTACGCAGATTCCAAGGCATCTTTCGCAGCACCCCTTCATGCTACGTAAGGCGCGCACCGGGAAAAACAGAAATTAATCTTGTATTATGGGCAGCCGAGATATTTACAGTAAGTATTTTCGCAGAAACGGTCCTGCTGTCATTATCATTTACAGCTTGCCCTTTATGATCTATCATTAAATGTAGAACATTTAATTCTTTTTGTAGATTGCACTTCTATAAATACTTATTCACTCAATAGAGTTTTACAAAGTTTTGTATGATGATCGGTTTAAGTGTTATATTATCTTTGAATTTTTTGAAATTTCTGGTCGAATTTGACTACTGCATTTATTATCTCTTGTTACTTAAAAAAAAATCATGATATTCATCAAGCTAAAGGATCAGCTTGGAGAGAGTAAGTCGTAAGCCATGCACAGAAAATATAATTTTGCTTAAGTATCTAAAAATTTAGCTAAATGCAAATTTGAAAATAATTTGGGTTGTATCATTAAAAGAATTACGTAGCAATTTCAACAATGATGCTGCAAAAAATTTTGACATTCTAGCAATTATAATTATTTGGATGATTTAAATTATTTTCAGATCTGTATCAATATTTTTAGGTACTTTCAAAAGCGTCCTTTCTGGATAAGAAATTGATCAATCATAGTCAATTCTCGATCTTCACATTCAACTATGAGCGGTTGATTTCTTGTATTGCAGACAAATTAAATTTTAATCAAAAAGTCTCGCTACTTCATCAGTCATCAATCTAAATATTAAAATCTGTGTTGTTGTATCAAACTCTCATCTGAATATCAAATCCATTAAGACAAAGAAAACGAAAATAAAGTTTTACTTTCGCATTGTTTACAAGCACAGTCTTGAACTAACGATAACCATCACGAAATTATTCGTGGAAAGGCGACGAGAGATCGCCGGGACTACCGGACTCGCGGGCGCCACGCGACGTTCTCTTTTTTGGATGAAAAATATCGGTGGAACGATAAATTGCGCACCGTTCAGGTTTCGGAGCGCGAGTCGCGTAATGTAGCAGAACGGAGCCGAAAAATTGTTACTGCGGTGCAGCAACCGGTGCAATCTCAGGCCAACAAGTCGCGCACCGTAATGTGTTAATGTGTTAATGACACGGGATGAAAATGACTCGTCTAGCGGCGATGAATCATCCTGAAATACGAGGAGCTTCACCTATTTAATTAGAATATCGCAATCTACCCGGACGTGTCGCGTAGCGGACCGGTAGAGCGTCGCGCAAAAAAGAAAAAAGGGAAAAGAAGTTTGCGTCAAAATCTCTTTTCTTGAATTTTATATCGGTAGTTAACGCAGCTGATATATGTGTATAACGCTTATAAACTCATGCATTCTGCTGTTTTTTTTTTTTTTCTAAAAACGACTCTGTCTGCCTTAAGCTTACCCGGCTCGTTCGGAGTTTTATGTCAGGGCGCGAACCCGCTATTTACGATCGCCATTTCACAGCATTGGGCGCAGCGTTTTTTTTTCCTCTGGATTCACAGTCAAACGAATCAGCAGTTAACGTCAATATTTTGAGCATCTTGACCCCAGCTGACTTTTTATCGCAACGTCGACCTCAGACCGATGATAGCCGCAGCTGCAACGATCGCGCGAAGTCGCAGTTCTGGTTGCAGCATTGTAGGCTACGCGACGTTTGACCATCGATACGACGAAGCGAGCGGGAAGTGCCGTTTTATTGGTTGTTTTGAAACAGTAAAACACACCGTAAACACGCCGTTGCTAGACTCGTAAACAATGAAACAGCGTACGTATGAAAGTTACAGGATTAAATGCCAATAGAATTATCGATTAGAATTTATAAAGATCGTTATACAGTCATAGAATATTGTGTTGCTAACAATATAATACACTATTTTTGTAAAAAAAAAAAAACAATGAATAAATCAAGAATTAATAGTAAAAATATACGCTTTTTCTTTTTAACGAAGTTATGTAATTAAGTTAATATTTTGATCTCTATTAGGTAATTATCATTTTTTAATTCGAGAATTTAATAATGATGATCTCTTATGGATATATATCAGCAAATTGCAAATTTTTGCAAAGGTCTTGTCGACGCACCGATTAAAGATAAATCGAGTACCTAACCAGAATCCTGCAGGACCCTACGTTTATCTTGCTCTGTATGCGGTAACCGTCCTAGGAGGGCATGTTTTATCATATTCAGCAGACAATCGTCGGAATGCTAATCAGCCTTACTCCCTTATTTGTAAAATTAACGATCTGTTAATAACTAATGTAACGATTTGATTTATATGTTACTTGAATATGAATTTATTCGTACAAATTATAAAAATAGCATTTAACAAATATCGAAGTATACTTGTATAAAATGATTTTACTGGAATCTCTATCTATTTCTTTCTTTCTTTAACATATACTGGTTATCACAATGTTTTAATTTTCTTCAAAAATATTCTCATGCGATTATATCATCTAACAAGTTATTAAAATATCTTCACAGAAAGAATTTTGCTGAAATGTATGAAAAAATTAGCTAGATGCAGATCTGAGAATAATTTTGTTGGATTTTCAAGATAATTAGGTAGAATGGTTAAGCGTTGAAAACAATATTGTAAAAAGTTTTAACATTTTAACCAGTTTTAGCGTTCTACGTAAGTATTTTGATGTTCCAAACAAAATTATTTTCAGATCTATTCTCTCTAAATATTTGGATACTTCAAACCGTTCTTTCCGTGCACGTATGATAATGTATCCGAATCCATACACACACACATACACACATATATATACACACATCGTAGCAGCGTAAAATTTCGTTGATGTGAAATATTTTAATGGAGTTCATCGTGCCATTTGACATCAATAACGAACTCAAAGAGGCCTTGATAATATGATTTATCCTGTATAATCAGGAATATCCGGCTACCGTGGAATTTCGCACGTTTACAAATATTTGGAACATCACATCTGAAACAGTCCGTGAACGATGGAAGCTTTATTTCGCCGTTTCATAATAATTTCGTAGTATTGCGGGGAAACGAGTTAATATATTGACAGGTGACCCGTCTTCCAATCTCATCCCTCTGCTTCGAAAGCAAATTACTCGAC